CCGACGCGATTGGCCTGGCCGCAGCCCTAAACCCCCCCTCTGCCCCCGGTGTTTCAGCCTCCCCCGTGTCAGCTGAGAACAGGCCAGAGGCAAGCCCATGGGGCCCACACAGCTGCCAGGCACCACCAAGAAGCAGCAGCAAATGGGTGTTGTTCCCTACAGGGCAGTTGTTGGAGCTGAAGCAGTGGTTCTGGCAACAGTGGTACCTGTCGGTATGCCAACTGACTTAGGACTTCAAGTTGGTTCGCACACTGACAGGAACTTCTGCTGGAACTGCTGCTCCAGTCTCAGCATCTGCACTTTGGAGAACAGCACCCACTGCTGCTGCTTCCTGGTGGTGCCCGGTAGCAGTGCAGGGCCCCATGGGCTCAGCTTCGGCCCATTCAGTCAAAATACACAGCACTAAGGCTTCTACGTATCCCTTAAGGCACATTTTAACTATTCGTGTGTAAATTTGATACCTGCTTTATGCAGGTGTACAATTGGTCCCCCTAATATAGTCCATGACCTGTTGTGCCTTATTTACAAAACTTTTCTAAAAAAAGGTTGCATGAATATATTGTCTTATAGTATATAATAGAAGTTATAATTCCTATTCTGTCATGGTATCTTTGAGCTTTAACATATCTTAAATTAAAACTATATATAGGGTTGTTTTTTAAAGCATCTTTAAAATATGATTAAATTTTTAAAAAATTCAGAATTAATTTTGTTTAAAAAGTTGCTTTTTATCCACCCTGGTTAGTTGTCCTTAGACTAAACTAGAATGCCAGTACGTGTTTTAGAGGAAGTAAATAGTGCCCTTTAACTCCTCAATAAAAGTATCTAATTATTAATTTTTTGTTAGGTTTCACACTTCATTTAGAACAAAGCTGTCCAACTAGCAACCCATGGGCCACATATGACTTGGAAAGGGTTAACATATAGCTCTTGGGTTCCCAGTTTTAAGTGCCACTCGCCCCACTACTTCTGCCACTAGAGTTTCTGGGCTTCTCCCTTCTCTGACTTTTGCTGCCTGACTCCACCCCTGGAAGTGGGGCTGAGTGGAACCTGCCACTTTAAGATGAAATTTAATTCCTTATGATTTAAAGGAGCATGAGACAGGCATAAGTCTAATAGAATGAGGTAGTTAGCCACGTTCAGCCATGTCTAAAGTCAGGCAGCAGGCAGGGTAGATGTGCATCTTAAGGTTAATTAAGGCCTCATATAGAGCACAAACTTTTGTGAACTTGAGTTCACTTCAGCAGATTTTGGGAGAGGACAGCATAGAGCAGTGTATAAAGTGGAGTGAGTGATTTTAATTGTATTCAAATTGTAGAGCACAAAACCTTTGTGCTCAATATATTTATCTTATTTAGTTAAGTCTGCAACAGTGTTTAGCAAAGTGGTGATAACTGGGGGGCATCTCTTCTCCCTCCCCCCACTCCCAGTTAAAATTGGGTACAGAAAGAGTGAAGTGTACTGTCATGGGGAGCTCCACAGCCCAGATCTAATACTGATAAAACTATCACTTTTCAAAGCACACTTCACTCTCACAGCAGACTAGCATGTTACAGACCAATGATTCCCAAGAGGTGTGCTGTAAGATGCATATATCTACTAGACAAGGATATCCACCTTGTGGCCTATGAGGGATGGATAGTGACCTTACAGGCTTATGCCCAAGTGCAACTTGCCCTACTGCTATGATGGTGGAGGTGGTGGCTGCTACTGCCAGGATCTCTAGTCTCCCCCTGCCCTTCCGGGCTCAAAGAACCTGGGGCTTGGTTTGTGAGGGGTGACAGGAATTAGTATGGCAGGGGTATGCATGCCGTGCGGCTCCCAGTTGCTCTGAAGTTACACAGCCTGTAATAGAATTTCCGGCCCCTCTGGTAACCCAGACAGAAGGCACAGGCAGGCACTGGATTTATCCCTTTCCTAATGTCACTATGTGGCATAGAAAAAGGATGAATAAATTCATAGAGGTCCTATCTGAGAGAGAATGACCTCCCCTGTCCTCCATCTTTTGGAAGAGTCAGATTCAGAGGACTCCAAAAAATGCACTAAGCAAAATGCTGTTTTCTGTCAGTATCACAGTATACCTGTAGAAAAGGTGGTCAGCTGTTGGTGTCTGAATCTGGTTAGGAAAGTACATAGTTCAAATTATTCTTTTATTGCTGATAATTTCAGTATTATACTTAAAGAGAATAGGTATGATAGACTTGCAATTGGAAGAAAAATTCCCATTGAGGTTGAAAAACTGAGAAATGTGCAACTAGTAAGAGAAATTATTCTTCTGGTTCCAAGTTATAACTTTATCTTTCTCTATATTCTTCCTTGGAGAAAAAAGTATTGAGGAAGAATAAAATTGATGTTCTCTTTCCAGTTCATTCCCGAAGAAGCAGAGTTTATTTCCAAAGACCCTACTCATGGGAAGATTGAATCAACAATAGAAAAGAGAACAGTTTGAAGCTCCTCTCTTAGTGCTCTATCTGTATCTACTTTAATTTGCCAGTGCAATATTAGCATGGATTGACATCTGAAAGTGCGACACTAAAATATGAAGAGCTTTAATTTGGATTAAGACCTATAAAAATGCTCTTTGGTGCTGCACATGGATCTGATTCCCTGGACACCGTCTGGTATTCACATCAGGTCATGGGACCTGTATGCTGAAGTAGCAGTAGCTTGATGATGTGGCCCTGGGAATGAAAAGGCCACCAGCTATACTGCTTACGACCACCTCAACAATATTCAGATGAGGAGCCATCCAGTATGTCCATAGTCAAATTATTTGGACTGGAGGGCCACTTAAAGAGTTTTAGTGAGCTGTTCTGGGCTGGGGCTGGGGAGGCAATTGATCCTATCTGGCCCTGGGCCCATCCGCCCCGGGCTTATCTATGCTGCACCCACCATCCGGGGGTGCCAGGTGGAGCAGACAGATAGGATCTCCATGGAGACTAGCCTGGGACCTCCTCACACACTTGGCAAGGCAGATGAGATGGGGCTGTAGGCATGTGGGGAGCAGTGTCCAGGAGCAGGATGGACAGGTGGGGACAAGGCTATGATTGTAGTGTGGTGATAGTGCAAGGCCAGGGCCTGGGACAGAGTTGCAATCCACTCTCCTCATGTCCCTAGAACAGGCACCAGCTCTGCAGGCAGGGATGCGCAGTGAGTGGATTGCTGCTCTGCCCCAGCCCCTTGCACTGTTCTTCACTACCCCGTGGTTCTGGCCCCATCCATCCTGCTTCTGAGTGCTGTTCCCTGCCGGCCCACGGCCCCATCCGTACTGGTCTCTGGAGGCCCCACCCACTCTGTCTGGTACCTGTGGCAGTGTGTGCAGGGTGGACTGGCAGCAGCAGCCAGGTAGAGTGAGTTGCCAGGATACTTAAGTCCAGCCACTGCGCCACCCCCACTGTGTGCCAAGGGATGGTTGGGCTGGCTGCGCATGCCATGGCCTGGGCTATCCCTTGCACTTGGTTTGGGCATGGCTGAGGGTCCTGCAAACTGGATGGAATCCCTTGGTGGGCCAGATCTAGCCCATAGGCTGTATTTTGCCCACCCCTGGCATATAGTGACATGGGTGAGATTTCTAATAGAATTTCATAGTTTCATAGTTTGTAGGCTTGGAAGGGGCCTGAGCAGATCATCAGGTCCAACCCCCTGCCATGGCGGAAAGAGTACTGGGGTCAAATGACCCCAGCAAGGTGTTTGTCTAGCTTTGTTGTAAAGACCCCCAAGGTAGGAACCAGCACTGCTTCGCTTGGAAGTTGGCGCCAGATCCTAGCCGCCCTGACAGTGAAGTAGTGCCACCTGATGTCTAATCTGAATCTGCCGTCTACCAGCTTGTGACCATTATTTCTAGTCGCTCCTGGTAGCGCTTGGGAGAACAGGGACTCCCCCAGTGCCTGCTGGTCCCGTCTGACTAGTTTGTAACAGGCCACTAGATTCCCCCCTCAGCCTTCTCTTGTGGAGGCTGAACAGGTTCAGGTCCCTTAGCCTCTCCATTTAGGGCCTGTCCTGCTGCCCCCGATCATGCGATCAGGAGGCAGCAGATATTTCAGATATTTCCAAGCAAGCTACATGGTACGAAGGTAGTGGAGTCTATAGTAGAATTCCAAGTTGATGATCAGTTTTTGCCCCAAGCCAGAGAGCTGCAGGTTAATATTAAACAAATGGATTTTGAGAATAGTTGAAAGGGGGTACTCTTTTCTGTAGTATCTAAAAAGATCCCCTCCAGAATTTTCCTTGTTGTAGAAAGAATCTGAGGAGTCTGCCCAAGGTGATCATTTTTTCAAAGTAAATATCTGTTCATACATTT